CGGCTGACATGATATTCGCAGCACGTCAGCTCCAGGAGAAGTGTCAGGAACAGAACAGGGACTTATACACCACTTTTGTAGACCTGACAAAGGCCTTCGATACAGTTAACCGCAACGGACTCTGGAGAATCATGGGAAAGTTTGGCTGCCCTAGCAAATTCATCAACATGGTACGCCAATTTCACGATGGAATGCAGGCCAGAGTGCTGGATGCTGGCGACTCCTCAAGTGCCTTTGCAGTTACAAATGGAGTTAAGCAAGGGTGCGTGCTTGCACCGACGCTGTTCAGTATGATGTTCACTGCCATGTTGTCTAATGCCTTCCGCGAGGATGATGCCACAAGCATCAAAATCAGGTACCGTACTGACGGCAGACTCTTCAACTTGAGGAGACTTAAGGCCAAGACGAAGGTGAAGGTGACGTCTGTGCGTGACTTCCTGTTTGCAGACGACAGTGCGTTAAATGCTGCCTCAGAGGACTTGATGCAACAGAGTATGGATCGTTTTTCCTCTGCTGCTGACAACTTTGGTCTTACGATAAGCACTAAGAAAACAGAGGCCCTGTACCAACCTGCACCGCATAAGCCGTACGTGGATCCTGTCATTACTGTAAACGGGGAATCACTAAAGGCAGCTGCAAAATTCAAGTACCTTGGCAGCACACTCTCCAGGTCTGTAAACATAGACGATGAGGTTGACGCACGGGTCGCTCTGGCAAGCTCCTCCTTCGGACGTCTGCGAGCCTCAGTGTGGGAGAGGAGAGGCATTAGACTGAGCACGAAGTTAAAGGTGTACAGGGCAGTTGTACTGCCATCACTACTGTACGCCTGCGAAACATGGACGATCTACGCACGTCATGCCAGAAAGCTCAATCGCTTTCACATAAACTGCCTGAAAAGACTCATGAAGATCACTTGGCAAGACAAAGTCCCAGACACAGAGATCCTCCAGCGGGCCGATCTGCCAGGCATCCACACACTGCTGAGGAGAGCCCAAGTCAGATGGGCGGGCCATCTGGTAAGGATGCCTGACACACGGCTACCGAAGAGACTTCTGTACAGTGAACTGGTAGAAGGCAAGCGCTCAGTGGGAGGACAGAAAAAGCGCTTTAAGGACACACTGAAAACAACTCTTAAAAGTTTCAAGATAGATACATCTACCTGGGAATCAGCAGCCCAAAACCGTGCTGCCTGGCGCAGCCACATCAGCAGCGGTGCTACTCTCTACGAGAAAACAAGGATCGCAGAAGCCGTGAGGAAACGCGCTTCCAGAGCTGCCCCCACATCCCGGACTCCAGAAACCCACCTGTGCCCGACCTGTGGCAGAACCTTCAGAGCCCGTATAGGACTTGTGAGCCACAGCCGGACACACAAGACCTGATGTGATGTTCATTGGTCATCGTCGACTACGACGGACGAACAACAACAACAAAGGTGAAGATGTGGGCTATCACACTGTGGTATTAGCTAATGGGATCCAGTTGGCCAGTAAAAAAAGATAAGCACAGATAAACTGACCAAAAATGCTAATGTTTGGAAGGCCATAACGATCGGTGTCATTTTGTAATGCACGAAATACCTACATTGTTGTACTAGGCAAATCCTGTAGATATGAAAAAGTATAAACGTTACGTATGTCTAAGGTGTTTTTGTTGCACTATTGACAGTTGTCAAATCGTGACCCGGTATATGCCGTATTTTAGAGAATAACGTGTTCTACGCTGACCTGCGGTTCGGCTGGATTCGGGAATGCTCGGACGCGGTCGGATGTAAACAAACATGGCTGCGATCCGCGCTAGCGCCGCAGAGTGCGCAGTTTTCCAACGCATATTTGCGGCGAAACGACATTGATATGTTAATCCCCAAATGTCATCATGAAGTCAGGTAGGTGTAAAGCGCAAGAAAATGTGTAAAAGAAAGATTTCTAAAATAGTCAAAATTCTACATAATATAGCTTTAGTAATCTAAGTAAATAAAGCAATAACTCACCTTTTAGAGAATCGCCATGTTTCCATAATTTCTCGACGAGCGTGTCTTAGACCCAACAAATTCAGGTTCAAAGTCGACAAACACGGGACTGCATCTACAAATCCAAGATTAGCAAGACTTTTATCCGTGCGAACCACAAGCGGCTGCCTGAAATATTTTCAAAGACTCGTTCGCAAGACAACGGCAAAGTTCGACAGAAATAGAACAGACTTCGATCGAACTCGACCGCCCCCCTCCCCCCTCGGTTCGGCCTGCTAGGCAGGAAATCGCTTCGAAAACCATATTTTTCTTTCAACTGGATCCCCAAAAGAATCTTTTTTGGGCTCAAATGTGTTGAAAACAAAAGTACGAAGGTTCAAGTCAGATACAAACCCGGAAAATTGTCGAATTCGTCACAATTGTGACGAGGAAACAACAGAAATAGGAGGGGGAAAGCCTACGGAAACAGGAAGTAACTTTTCGACAGTTCATATTACATTTTTCAAGACCAACAACCAGTTCAAATCTTGTCTACTAAATAAATTTACATTTTGTAGTTATAGAAAGCCACCTAGTCGCTGTAATTTGGATAGAACCGCGTCAATCTCACCTGAGGTTCCAAAAAGTAAAGTGTGATGCTGTCCTTGGTGCTAGCCATGCCATCCGGAAGGGAGAACCCGAGTGCACTTTGTACATGGATCGCTAGAGGCCACTGCTGCACGGTGCCATTCCTGTCGCGACATGGCAGTAAAACACGGTCTAGCAGCGTCCCCCGACGGCGACGAACAGATTGCAGGGTTATATCTGTTTTCATCCCCAAAATATATGATATATGGTAGTCAATATGCTTCTCTGTTGCATACGGAATGTTAGTGGTCTTCCAATTCCTCTAAATACTCCACAAACGCGCCCAAGTCTGCCGTGTTACGCACAAAACACAACCGGGCCACCATGTTTGTTTACACGTTCGGTGATGCATGGAGTAAAACAAGCGTCTCGTTCGTAGCAACAATCCCGAAAACGCTACCAAAATTACTATTCCCTGTTATGTTTCGCCGTCCCATATATTTAGCTGTTGTTAGAATAGCGCAACGGTTAGAATTGAAGTTATGATTAGGGTTTAGAGTCGGAAACAGGCGTCCCTTCACAGCAAAACGTCCTGACGTCGGTATGGCGTATTGGCGCTTCCTGGCAGGTAGACAGTGTAGCAGTGGCCTCTAGCGATTTATCTCCAAACTGCAGGGTCACATTTACCTATGGCTGACGTAACCATGACGTATCTGTAGCAGTGCAGTTGTACACTGGCTTTTGTGTAGAGCCGCGTATCGGCACAAAATACTCAAGTTAACTCACTCACAACCATCTAGCGTTAAGTTAAGAATCTCCACACACCTGCTAGGAATTAGATACGGGCATTTTTACTCTTTTTTTAGGCTTCCTTTTTCTACTGACAGCTTAGAAACTACGGCAGTACTGTGGTGTGTTGAGCCCCACCATGTAGACCACGCAGTAGCGCCCTCCAGCGGTATGTTTGTAAAGTGCAACGACATTAATCTTTCTGGGAGCGAGGCATATGCATACTTATGCGAGTATCTTGATACAAGGCTTAGGCATAGGCTAGGGACACCTTTCACTTTTTCATTCATTCATTCATTCATTTGTTCGTTCATTCAGTTCATTGCATTCACAATGTAAACCAACACAAGAAGGTTTCAACGTGATACGATTTATTTCACCATGTCTAAAACTTACAGATGGCGATTCTGTCAAATCACGACTATGTCACGTCTGTCTACTGATACATATTATATTGCCAATTTTACGTTTTATAATCAGATAGAAAACTTGTGAAAAAAACTACACTAAGCACATGCATCATACAATCTGACTGCATATACAGAATGTAGTACAATGTCTCAAATTATGCTCGTTGCTATAACGTTACCCCCCTTCCCCTCCCCTTCGGTCCGCCTTTAGTGCTATTCCGGCCTATCGTATAGGCCGGGTGTCTGTATAAAATGCGCTGACAAATGGGCTATACAAATATGCGGAATCCTCTGTACATATTACACTGTATGGAGTCGTAGTGAAGATTTGTTGACCGAGCCAGACATCAATCTCCCGTCGTCTGCGCGATTATATCCGTTTTCACCTCGGTTTACGGGTGTCCCTTATGCTTGTCTGCTATCTTAACTCGGTGTACGGAATGTTGCGGGTCTTCAAATGTCGCCAAATACTCCAGAACACTACCAATATTCTGCCGTGTCACGCACAAAACACGGGCCGCCAAGTTCGGTGATGACATTTGGAGTAAAAGGAGTCTCACATAGGGGATGATTGCGTACTGCACTTCTTCGAACACTACTACGTAGGACGATCAATATCTCGTATATTGTACAAAAAAACAACTAAACTTTGTAAGAATCGGCACAATATAAAGTTACGAGTAAGAAGAGGGGTGTGCAAGGGGTGATTGTCAGCGAAATATCCCACTATACCGGGATTCGGTAAACCCCTATTTTAGCCCCAGATGTCGAAACCTGGGAACGAGTCACTATAACACACGTGCTTGCGTGATTGCGTCATACTACAAACCATAAGACTCCTAGGAAAACGCTCATGCTAAATAGATGATCACATTTCTGTGAATGGTCGAAATCAATAAATCAACATTTTAAATTTCTACATACAAGCAGACAATGGTCTATTATCATATGACAACATTGTCAAAACAAAAGGGTGCCGCTGTAACATGTCTCGTAGTCAACAAGGAAGTGGGCGTCCTTCCGAAGACTAGTCGTACTTTGATCTTACTAAGTTTCATAAATACAATCTAATGCTAGCATCTATTGTACCTTCACGTGCCAATGGCTACTAAACTTTACTCAACCAAAACGCAAACTTCATTGTGGGATCGTGTGGTGTAGCGGCAGCTTGCTCGACTCGGAACCAAGAGGTCCCGGGTTCGAGTCCTGACATGTCACCTCTGCGTTGGTGACGGCATAAAATGAGTGGATATAACTTGAGTGTGCTGTCACCATGTTTAGTCATGAAATGTTGGAATACAAAAAAAAAAGTCGTTCTTTACATACTATGTCGGCGGCCTGGGTCCATTCTTGCAGATCCGACACGCATGTTTTTAAACAACATCGTTTCCTGACTCCAGGACTTGTGGAGAAGGACTGCACCACAATTCTGGTACGTCTGCAAGGCCGCACCGGTCGACCCTGATGCGAGAACACTCCTTGGTCTTCCATACGCGTGAGACCGGCGTCTGTCCCTCACAAGTCGGCCTACAGCCCCGTACGGCGTGTTGCCTTGATCATTAGGCTTGATTTCTCCCCAAGCTACCCCTACAGCGATATTCCTTCCTCTTGACTTCACAGTAGACGCCGAAGGCCACGTTCCGTACGCCCGTCTTGCAAGCAACTCGAATGGCCTGTACTTCGGCGTACGTGTTCCATACGCCGTGCTACCTGCATTCTTCCTTAGTTCTGCAAGCCTATTTGAGTAGCCATCACGCTTGGTCGAGCGGACGACATTCCTGTAGTATGCATGCCCCTTGCTCATCTTTCTCAGCTCTGGAAGAGTGGATCTAGACACCCGAGCGCCGTTCTCGTAGTGTCGGTGCTTGGCGCCAGACCTGGTCACGGTAGGAAGCGCCACTTCTGCTGCAGCCGCGTAGAAGGTAGTAACGTCGTCGTCTTGCTCATCCAGATCAGAAGGCTGCCACTGCCAGCGTTGAACGTCCCCGTGTTGTTCGAAGTTCTCGTACCTGACGTCGAGCGCCAGGGGAAGGGAGGAGGGACGCCAGTTGGCCTGTCGCGCGGTGTTCTCGTAGCTGTAGTACTCGTCCGGAATCTGCGAGTAAGGGTTCCCGTCCAGCGAGGGCCGCCGGTAGCGGTACCCGGGGTTACTGAACTCGAAATAGTCGTCCGGGATTTCCCAATAGGGCGGGGCGTCCCCTTCGTTGCCGTGGAGACCAGTTGGTATCATCCAGCTGTTGATGGAGACGACAGCCCGAGCTAATGGGGCGATTGCGTCATCGGGTATCCCACCGGAGTTTCCGGGACCGTCCTGGTTGCCATGACAACCTGACAGCCACCTTTTTACCAGGTAGATGGTCGTCATGGCGACGAGAACGGTTGCTAGGGAGACTGTCAGGACTATCACCATTATGTTCTGTTGTTCTGTCGGTGGTTTTGTCGTCAAGAAAACGACCTTCTGGGTAGGCGTCGGGATCGCATCAATGTCTGTCGTTGGGAGCGAAGTCGTGTAGTTCTGTGCTGCAGTGACGTCATCAGCGCTGTCAACGTCATCAGTGCTGGTGACGTCATCAGTTCCAGTGACGTCAGTCGTGTTGCTCGTCCATGGTTCTTCTCTGACGTCACCAGTGTTGTTGATCGAAGTAGTGTTGCTTAAACTGTGCTCTCCGGTAGCTGGGTGCACGTTGGTGTCTGATTTTTCTCGTTCTGTCGCGGTTAAGAAGGACTGGGTGACTGTCTCCCCACTGACCACAACGCACGTCACGTTCTGTGTGCTGTTGGTCCGTATAGGCGAGTCCAAAACTGGGTCACCCTTTTCTACAGACGAGGATAGATCAAACACAACAGAGACCAGGCGTATTGTCTTGTTGTTCTCTCTCACAGAAAGCGCAGCCAGTTCCACGGTAGATTCGCCACTCGCGTCTAGGTTGAAGCTCGCAGTGTCTCCGCCCGACCAAAAGCGCTCGCACCAGGGCAATACCGTAACGGTGTTTCGGTGTTCTGTGTTTGTGGCGCCCCCCGTCACGGCCATGACGACAAACGGAGTTCGGAACGTCTGACTCCTTACAATAACACGGCTACCGTACAGCAGTCTTGCGCAGATGTAGGCATAATCTGTGTAGTCATAGTCTGTCTTAGGGAAGACGTTTAGCGTAGGTGTGTCGTGGTGAAGCCACAAGCGGTACTCTGTTGCAGGATATTCAGCATGTGTGGAGCATACTCCGAATCCGCCCAGTCTGACTTGTACAAAAGACAAATCCGACAACAGTACGGCTTGCCATTTTAAGGCGTGAGAAATCTGATTGTGTACACTGAACAACTCATTCTCGCCGAGTTTGTACGCTACTGAATTGTTCGGTAACCAGCGGTATTCCGTCGGAAGCCATACCAGATTATTGTCGCTCATGTCAAAGTAGTTGAGCTTGCTCAGATGCGCAAACGCACCCTTCTGTACAGTCTCAAGTCGGTTAGAAGTCAGGATAAGTTCCTTTAAGTTGGACAACCCAAAGAACCAGCCGGCACGCACGTACCGTAACAGGTTATGCTCAAGAACCAGAAATTCTAACCTGCCAAGTTCTGCAAAGCTCCCTGACTCAATATCAGCGATCTTGTTGTGTGACAGAGACAGAATAGTCAGTGCAAACGGGGTGGTTAACTCGGCAAAGTATTCCTTCTTTATGACAGTTAGGTTGTTGAAGTCGAGATACAGGGAGTACAAGTACTGAAACACACTAAGACTGTTCGGTTCCAAGTCTATAATACCTCCCTCTACAAGAGTAAGATAGTTAACACCTGAGTTGTTACACAAGCCAAGTGTTTGTACTGATAACACGTTAAAAGGATGGCCTCTTACAGCAAGCCAGGTGCTGTCTGAAGGGTAGACTTGAGTGTTCTCACCAAGCCAAACCAAACCAGCTGTTGAAATGTCCCCGCATAAGATACAAGACCTATGTGACAGAGGGTCTTTAGACGATATTATCGTCTGAGTGCTTCGGTAAGAAAGCTGCCCAAACCACGACAGACCGCTGGGAACGCAGTTCTCGATCGTCGTGACTTGGCAGTCAGGAATACAGGCTCGCGCCAGGACCGTACAAGCAAACAGAGCGAGTAGTGTCCTCATCTTATGGCCCATTATTCACAACATGTCGAGGATTTGGCCTCTGTCGGTCAATATTGACCAAGGTAAAATCCTAATTCACATCGCATCATCCTTAAAGCATCTGCTATGGCTAAATAGTCCATCTGCTATGACTAAACAATCTGTAATCATAATCTGACTCAGTTCTGTTGAACAGGACGACAACCTACAGCCTACTAGTATTTGCAGCTCTCGCGGCATATTACAATGTCCTACATCATCTTGCTGATAGCAAAGGCTACTGAAAAGTAATCTGCAGTCCACTAAAGATGAAGGTACGATAACTACTGTCAGGCGCTCTTAGATCGAATTGACAGTCCAGGTCCGAGTCTGTCGCTCCGCTCAAATGAATCTGAGTATTGTCTGCGCCCGTTCTCAACTGCTGTTCAATTTCCAAGTCGGAAAATTCTTCTATCCCTGCTTACCTTGCCGTAAGGTGTAGTGGGAACGGCGATCTACGGTAAGAAAACAACAACTGCCGTCTTGGTTGTCAGATTTAGGAGACGAATATGGGGAGAATACGAGCTCGAGTATTGCAGCCGCTCCTACACCCTGATGCGTGCACTGGCGGTACCCAGGGCAAGTCGTGCAGTTCCGCTGCTCAACAGACAGTCTGGTATCTCTTTGTCTGGTATCTCTTGGTTGGAATGCGAGAGATGGGCTTTTCATACGAACGGAGTCATCTCGGATTGGTCTACATCACCTGAGGGCACTCAAATAGTTTCTGACTGGTACATGTATCTATCCAGACATGTTGCACGTATTTGTGAAGACGAGTATTCAGGTCAGAATGTTTTAATTCCAAGTAAGAGTAGATCCAGGTCACCTGTTTGTAGGTTTACAGGATTTGCTCTTTTTTCCCATAACCGGTAAACCTCCTTTGGGTGTAACACACCAGTTTTGTATAGGTAAGTACAAGCTATGTAAGACCGGGCTGTAAGGTTTGAATCACTCACATCAGGAAAGGTCCTTGTTCTTTTTGATAAGTGTGGTGGGCTCTTTAATGTGCTTCAGGTGTGGTTCTCCTAAATCACGGGGCCTCTGCCCTACATTCCATCCTAGAAGACGTCCCTAACTCAAGCTAGGTACATGTATTAATGCTTCCTACAGTCCATTGAGGAAATACGTGTGTAAGTGCCTTTATCAAGGGTACAACACTGGGGCCTGCCAGGGATTCAAACCCAGGACTGCCAGATTCTATGTCAACAACCTTAACCACAAGGCCTACCAAATGTATGTCACACGTTGCCAAGTATGATCGTAATTCTGGATATGACAACAACTTTACAATGAAATGAAAAAAATCAGACATCATCCGTTTGTGTCTGCTCGCCTCCGGTCATGTATGTTACTCCTCTAGACCATCATATTACTGAGCATACAATTGTGAATTTTGCGAGGATCTGCAGATGTTGTGTTTAGAATAGAATAGTCAAGAAAATATAAATGTAACAAACAGAGTTGTACGTGACTCAAAAACATCATTTATTGCAAAATTTACAAAGAAATATATTTGGTGAAAAGCAACAGCACACAAGATCAAAAGAACAGCTTGAAGCAAAAAGGTTGGATTTGACTTTATCCTATCTGTACTAAAATCAATGACATATAGCCTAGTGATACAGCATTAACATGAACCAATTCCGTGCCAAAAATACTTCCTTTCCTCTTCACATACATGCTAACAGTACACATGCTGGCTATATGGACTTTAAAATCATCAATTGACACAGATTTAACAAAACCGTTGCAGTCCAAATTTATCATACATGGGACTACATAGTACAAATGTACTTAGTGATTGAGCTGTAAGCTTTGGAAAGCATTAATGAATATCACCATGCAACATTTCCAATGAAGTAGCATGCTATGTAGAGCATTGTTACCTCCAGCATATTCTAACAATAACAACACATTTAATTCCTCATTTTACTGTGCCATAGCACAACTATAACCATTCAACATAACAAAGTCACAATTCTGTCTGCAACTGACACGTTTTCCAAGGATTCCACTGACTATGAAAGTTCCTATATCATCCTACCTCACAGTAAGCACATCATACTGTTTCTTTCCACAACAAGTCACAATAAAAATTGGCTTTTCTATCTATGCCATGCAGAAATAGTAGAAACTACATACATGCAGTAAGCACACCACATCAAGTCAACAAAATCAGCAGTTTCAGAGAGAATAATTATGCCATTATTAATGTACAATATGGAGCCATATAGTGTGGTAACATATTCTTATAAGAATAACCTACAACCAATGCCTCAGACTCTCTGAGATTGCAATTGATACATGGGATCTGAGGCACAATTATTTTAATTGGATAAAATTATAATATATATCATATTATAACACAATTGTCATTAACAGAATATCTAATTAATCTATGCAAAGTTATCTTTCACTCTTTTCCCTGTGCAACAAATTTGGGCACATAGTTTGCCAGTGTATTTCCTCTTCCATGATGCAACAGACAAGTGTTAATAATGATGATTCCGTCAGTTCTATGTCAATATTCATAAATAGTGATGTTTGAGTAGCGTTTGTGAGAGTAAAGGATATTGTCTGATCTGTTTAAGGCCTTTGAAACACTTTGAATGTCATACTGAAACTCACAGGCAGCTCCGGTATTTGTAGCAATTTTTTTGCTGTAGAGGATATTGAATTTCTTGATTTTGATACATTGTTTATCAAGCCTTTGTCTCATTATTAACTATGGAAATCGGCCTGCTGGCCACTTTTTGTTGTCAGGCCATGAGACAAAATATAACAAGATACAGACTATGTGATTAAAGTCCTACCAAGTTCATATTAATGTTCCCATCCAGACAAGTCAGTTCCTTAAACAAAGACAGGAGAGGTCCCTACCTCAAGCCCGTATATGACTGTCTCTTAGCAGTTGACAATCAACATCAAGTCACGTGACAGAGACATCTGACTTTGCCGGGTTGATGAAGAGACAGAGTGCGTCTTGAAAGCTGCAAACGTTTGTTGTTTGTATGGTTTGAAATATTCATAGAAAATTTTTCATGTTTGGGCATTCCTGTCAGGTGTTAAGTGTTAAGACAGGTGATATACTGTGAGAACCAAGCTTATGTTTTATGGTGCCTGTAGACTGATGTAGACAAACAGGGCTGCCGGGCTGATGTCTGCTCCTCTCTTATCCAGCAGGTGGATGTGACGGTAGCCTGCATGACAGAAGCAACAAGAACCACAACAAAATGTGAACGTAAGATCAATTGGACCATTTCAGAACAGCAGCTTACATTTAGTAATGGTCTAGATATGATTATGATAAGATAAAAACTGGACTGATTTTCATAATGATAAAGAATCCTGAGCTCCTATTGGTATACTATAGTTCTGAAGTTCTGGGAATGGTACTGGTTCTCTTGAGTTAGAGGCATTACAAGACATTGTACAACAGAAGCTGAACCAGCTAAATGCTGTATTTCTGCATTGGCCACATCTACAGTTTATGCTGTACTGCTGCCTACCCTGTTGTACAGAGTCCAGTGGTAATGCAAACTGCCCACTGGCAAGCTCTCAGGGAGGAATCAGCTCTAGAGAGTAAGAGATTCTAAGAGTAACACAGGCTAAAGGTTATAAGTACATTGTATTTCCCCTACCCTGTTGTACAGAGTCCAGCGGTAGTGCAAACTGTCCCAGCATGTCGCTGCCTGTCATGCTGTCATGATCCTTCACTTCAAACCTGAGCATGGCCAGCTCGGGTAGGGCCAGGGGGAACGTCATCGCTGTGTTCCACACAGAATGGAAAGCTATGGGGGGATGGCATAGGACAAGTTATAGAATATAAGAGGTATCAACCAAGTCCATTTTCAATAGTGCTATATGTGCTATAGGGTAAACTAAATATTTTAACTATCTTCAATGAAAAATTATGGGTGGACAACACACTAACTTTATACAATAAAGTATATATAATATGTACTTTTTAGTCAGTCAGTCTATAGCACACTAGAATGTACAATAGAGAACAAAGAATAAATAGTGTCAGCAAAGCCTAATTATACAGTTAAACATTACTGCCTCTCTAATAAGCTTGAACCTCAAATTCTATATTCTATACATCAAAATCTTAAGTGAAACAACAAAGTTTTTGCTGTTTTTTTCTGACTCTTGAACATCAAGAATATGCTTTAAACTACACTAAATGTACAACAATACCTTTACATACATGTACATAACCCTACAGGAGTGTCTACCTAATTGTGGGTGCTAACAAAGTGAAGTCTGACCGCTGTTCTTTCTCCACTCTGTCCTCTTCTTGGCACAGTCTGCCGGGATGCGTTAGTTTCTTGATGTTAGTTAGTAGTAAGTTTCTTACGTTAGTTTACATACATGTAGCCTACTGAAGTTTTATTGGGCATAATTGTGGGTTGAAATAAAGTCTGACCGCTGTTCTTTCTCCACTCCGTCCTCTTCTCAGCGCAGTCGGCAGGGATGCCGCAGACCTGCACCTTGACGTACGGGTCGGCACAGCTGGTACTCTTCTCTGACGGGCTGGGCAGCTGGAAACTACTGATCACCTGCAGGGGAGGGAAAATCAGTACAAAAAAGTCATACAACAAATATAGGAGTTTATCCTATGGCTGTAAATTCTGAAGTACTTTTTGATACTTTTAGCCTTTTGACCACAAAGTTATGATTTGACAAAGAATATTTACTCAAGCAATTGGATATGATTTTGGAAACAGTCAGACATTTCAGGTAGCATCCACTATCTTTTGTCAGTGACAAAGAAATCTCAAAGTTGTAATGGTTATACGGTAGATCTAGAGTTAGGCAGCAGGGAGAAGGTACTTGATATAATGATTTCAGAAGAACATTTTTCTATAAGCCTTGAGTTGCACAAAACTGTGGCTGAAGCTCTAAAAACTTACCCTGACAGTCAGGTTCTTTCTGTATTTTGCTGGAATCTTTCCAGAAGTGTCAATCTTCAAGTAATCTGGAAAATAATACATAAAACAGGTGTGGGAGAATAAAATAAACTTAAAACAAAACAGATGCCTGTCCTTGGTGCTGAACACTATCCACACACATACAAAGATGTAAATGGATACACACACACACACACACACACACACACACAAAATACCTGTCCTTGGTGCTGAACTCTATGTAAATAGAGTTCACATAGAGTTCACACATACAAGCACAGACAAATACCTGTCCTTGGTGCTGAATGCTATCCACACACATACAAAGATGCACATAGACACACACACAAAATACCTGTCCTTGGTGCTGAATGCTATCCACACACATGCAAAGACGCACATAGACACACACACAAAATACCTGTCCTTGGTGCTGAATGCTATCCACACACATGCAAAGATGCACATAGACACACACACAAAATACCTGTCCTTGGTGCTGAATGCTATCCACACACATACCAAGATGCACATGGATACACACACAGACAACATCTCTGATGGAGAGAGAAACATACAAAGATAGGGAGAGAGACACAGTTAACAAACAATTGACAAACCCAGTCCCATTCCTCACCTTTCCTCAGGACGTCCGGCTTGAGGACGTACCCACAGCCTCCGTTCTGCCGGAACCTGCCCAGGTTCAAGTCCATCTGGTCACACGGCGTCTGGTAGTTCATCGCAACTGGAATCAGACAATGTGATGAGCTATTAGGTTATACTGTTGGCATACAGACAGTACCATACAGCTGAAAATGATCATGTCATGTTCTGTTTCTGGAAAACAGAATTCAAAATGATTTTGATCCAGTTTTAGTTAAGTATACGAGCTACTCTTGCACTGGTTGTGATACAGAAGACAGATGCTATGTATGGAATTTGCATGTACAGGTTCATTGTACCAGATAAATTCTCCCAGCTCTTTTTGAGAAGTACAATGAACAGTGGACCTGGAGTGATGGCTTAACATCCTGTCCTAAGGTCTGTGACCCTTTCCAGTAGCGTGCATGTAAGATGAGCGACAACAGCCGGGATTCAAACTTCCAACCTGTTGGTCCAGAGGCAGGGTCACTTACCAGTGGATAAGCACCCTCCTAGTCATCAACCAATATTGCAAGTTTGACTCTGTAATACATGTACATGTATATTACCTATCTGGCACCCAGCTGCCCAGAACAGGTGCGGGTCCATGTTACTGGAGTCCACCCTGCTGCCTGCTGGGTAGATCTTGACCAGCTGGCGTTTTGTGTGAGTGATGAAGTCTGCCGCCTGATGCTTCACCAGGTCCAGAGCCTTGCTCTCAGTAATGGACGACATGTGGCAGGCTGAGTCTGGGAATATGTAAAGATATGTGATATTTCATCATGAATTGGTGAATGATTGAATAGCAAAGTTCTTCTATTCACAACCACTTATTTAACAAGTGTTTGTGAAATTGAATAAAGAACTTTGCTATTTAAGTTGATTTTAACGTCTGTCCATCCATCCATCCATCCACCCAACCAACCAACCAACCAACCAACCAACCAACCAACCAACCAACCAACCAACCAACCAACCAACCAACCAACCAACCAACCAAC